GCATTGTCCAGATGTCCGGAATATTCGGGACAGACAATGTCCAGAATATTATATGTCCTATCTTCAAAGGAAAAATGCCGCTTTTGTCCCTGAAAAACGGTTTCACGCGACCCTTTGCTTATTTTCAACTGAAATAATGGAAGAATTACAGAGACTTTAAAACAAATCCTTGGAGGATATAAATTGAGTTTCAGGAAAATTGCTTAAAAATGTATTAACAGAAATAGCCCCTGCTTTTGCTAACATTTATAATGTCAGCCTTGAGATTTCAGACTTGTTGGAAAATGTCCAGAACTATTCCTATTTTCAAAAAACGACTTATCTATTTTTTGTGTCAACTTGGATTAATCAATGGATTTTCTAAACTCAATTGATATTGGAAAAACTTCTGCTTAAAAGAATGCTTTAATTTCACAACAATAATAACTTTTTTAAAACCAGGATTTAATGTTATGCAAGCAATTACTAAACTTTTAAACTAAATTTTCAGTGCACTAAATAATAATGAATCTGTTTTACTTGTCATGCTATATATTTTTAAAGCTTACAACTGTATAGATTACAAGAAATTTCTAAAAAAGCTTGAAAAGCAAGGAATCAGGGGCAACACATTACAAGGGTTTGAATCTTACTTGTGCATCAGGGCACAAAGTCTATATAAATGGTACCTTCCCAGACTTTTTCGAAATATTAGAGATGTGTCTGGTACACAGATAAATCTAAGCTGTTTACAGTTTATATCTATGTAAATGACTTCTTCCAATCTAACTAACTTTTAAATGCAGCCTTTGCCGTTGACACAAATGTGGCATCTAAATGTAAACACTTTAATACTTTTGCAGACACAATACAGAAAGAATTAGAAAAAATAACTTGTTTGTACATGTCTAATGAACTTACTATTAACTTTGTGAAAACTAATGAATTTTTTTTACAAATTCTCTTCTAAATGCAGAAAAGGAATTTCCCGATGTTTTCTTTTAACTAGGAGAAACTACATAAAAAAGTGAACTCATAAAAGAAACAGATGTTGTTAAATTCTTGGAAATATGGCTGGATTCTAACTTGAACTTCAGTCAATACTTTTCACTTCATGCTATGAACAAAATTAAAAACTTCTTAAGCTTTGAAACCATGAAATTGCTTTAGTACTCCTTTTTCCACTCTTATTTAGAATTCAGTTCAACATTTCTAATGCTAACTTCAAACAAAAATATTGATAAGATAGAATCATTACAAAAGAAAGCTATTGATGGGGTTACCTAGAATAAGTCACACAGTGGAAGCTTTTTGGGCTTTAAACATACTGTCCTTCAGAAAAATAGGAAATTTTAATGTTATAAAATTTTTATTTTAATTTAAATGTGACCAATTACCCCCAACATTTCAAAAATACTTTTTCATATTATCAATAAATATCTAAAACACAAATCTTAGAAACAAAAATGACTATCTATTAAATTTGTTCTGCTTCTTCCTTACAATTTCCTTAAAATATGGTATGAAAATAATGGACATGTTTTAAGCTTTCAAATATCAATCTTATCTCAAATTTTAAACAGAATTTAAAAGAAGATTGTTATCAGCAGAACAAATGTTTTAATTCTAACACATGCTATGTTTGCATGCAAAAGAATAAAAAAGCAAAGTTTTACAAAGAAAATACTTAACAGATTAAAAAGAGGAAGAGACATTATCACACATAAAGGATGTCAAAAATTGGAGTGAATTATAGAGATGCTTCTGTAAAAATAAAACTAGGGAATATAAAGACAACTTTCAGACTCAATTTATGCTTTTAATTAGTACAATGACCATAAAATATCCAAATAGAGCATTAAACATGCATATTGTATTAATGTTGTCTTCTAATTCCAGAGTTTTCTATAAACAAATACAATAAATAATTCTGATAAATTTTGGTTTGTCAGTGCATCTGCCAACCAGAGAAACAACATGTAAAATACTCGACTGCTAACCAAGAGTAGTAGAATCATGCATATTCAAAAGGAAATAAAGTTTGGACAAACGTTTTTGAATCGGATAATGAAGTCCTTATCCTAAAAGATTCCAGAATGTTTGATAAAACATTTCAAAACTTGTTATTTCAAAGAAAATTTAACAATTCCAAGAAGAAAAACTTTATATTCCACTGTTGTGCCCTCGAGTATTAATAAATATTACAATACACTATCTTTATAATTAGAGCAACTTTGATAAAAAGGCCTTCCACAACTAGACTTAAAGGTTAGATATCACACCACTGTTTATACTGTTTATAGGTGGTAAGGTACCTGAATGCTTAACTAGCACAACTATCACAACTAAAGATTCTATTATTATTGTTTATTTTATTCCAAGTGATAAACACAGTGCCGGATGTAAAGTGTATGTGAACCTTTCTAGACGGTATGCTGGACTGAAGTATATTTTTGTCGCTATCCTTATCATTGACACCATTTAATTTTGGGGAGCACTGTGTGTTTCAAAAAGTTGTTAATGTTTACCATTAAATTTAGGTGATCACTGTATATGTATAAGAAGTTTTCTTCATTAACCATTTTATTATGTACAATTAAAGTGAACAAAAACTACAATTTATTTCAAACCCCAAAGAGACTAGGCCTAAAATCAAATGTTTTTTGATTGTATATTTTATTACATCAACTGGAATAAATATTGGATTCTAAGAACTGCACAAATCACTAAAACATATTTTACAGAAAGTAACACATCAAAAAAAACAAAGTCTTCAAAACATAGACCCATTCAACTTTGTAAAAGGCAATAAACATAAACAAAGAAAATTTACAGGGTACACAGTCCCATTTCACTTAGTTTATTAGATATTTACTGGTAAATCTGTTTGCTTGATAACATTTAATGCGCAAAAGGTTTTTCGATAATCATCTTCCCTTTTTCACATTTAAAAGGGTCCAACTGCTTATAGGAGTGTCATTAAAACTGTTTAGCTGCCTTATTGTGAACCCAAAGAACATTGAGCCAAGATTTTTCATCTGCGATGCTAGAAATATATGGCAATGGTTATTTAAACAATGTTTTATCAAATTAAAATTATGTTGTAGTCTGTGTTTTTTGGTTAATTATTAACAAATAACGTTAAATGGCTGCACTGCTCTGGCCTTCTCAAATGTATGCTAAAGGCATTTTTATTTATTTTACAAAGCATATAAATATTTAAATTTTTTTTAAAGTATATAATAAAGAATATAATTGACAAAAATGATAATCAATTGTAGGCTAAAGGCATTTTAATTATTTTACATTAGATACCTATATATACTTTAATAATTTTTTTAGTATATAATTAAGATATAGTTCATAACATCATTACCTAACTTTCCTAAGATTCAACCCAACAGGATAATATCCAGCATCTTGAAATGCCTAAGATAATCTATTTTTAACAAAATAATTAGGAATGACAGGGAATGCTCTTTACAGCCCTACCATTTACCAACCTGTTTCTACCTGTCTGTCTGTATTGTGACTGGGATTTATATATATATATAGAAATTGTTATTGTTATTAAGAAAAATATTTCTAATCAAACAACAGTTTTCTTGAACAATGACAACTTACGGAAATATTAAATCATGATAAATGACCAAATTTGAATATTTAAAAATAACAATCAATTTTTCAAAACAAACAAAAGACAACAACAAATAATGTAAAATTAGTTATGATTTCATCAATGATTTCACCAACACTTTTAATTTAAAACCTAACCTAACCTGAACCAGCCTAACCAAGCCTAACCTTTTCTTTAAATAAAATAACAATTTAACAGAACTAACAATTCTGCTGAACAAAGGTTTAATTAAAAAAAACATGAACATTGATTCAGCTAACAAAATAATTAAAAGTTTTACCGACGACTGGAAAAAAGAATGAAGAGGTTAATGAATGTAAAATAAATAAATGAAATTGCACTGTTAATATTAAAACATAATGAAAAAATAAGAATTTGTGGAAAATGGAACCACAGAACTTTTTGTTAACAAATCATCCCTAATTTATGAATAATTTGAAAACTGTATAAATGAAAAAAATCCAACTTTTGTTTATTGTTTTTATAAGAAAAATTTAATGCGGAACAATCTTTGTGAGACTGTTAAAACAGCATGTCATTATTATTAAATAGCGTTGACATGACCTGGCGGCCAAATGCACCAGCTTCAGATTCACAATTTCCTGATTAGCTTGCTAAAATTCCAAATTATTTTGCACATATTAAGTTAATGTAATAAAAACACAAACAGACAAAACAAATTGGTAATTATGTAAGATTTAATAATTACATATATATAGGCTGTATAAATTAGCATTTAGCCTTGAATCTGGATAATTGATGTGGGATACAGGATTTGGTTCCCTGGCTAAAGTATAATTATATCTTGAATCATCCATAATTAATCAGATATATAGTTAGAAATAAACTTGTAGAGTTTTACAGGGTTGATCTATTGGGAGTTGGAGTAATCGGGAAGATTAAGTTCTGAATATATTAGTACAAGCCCAGCTATCCAAATTGCGTAAGCAACGTAAACGCATATTTTTTTGGCTCCAATTACGCAATTAAAACGCAAACTTGCGTAAGACTAGATTTCAAATTAGTGTAAATATCTAATTTTTCTAAAGAAAATATTTTATAACCCAGCTTTAAGTAAAAATATCATGAATTTGTGGAGATGTGTATCATTTTATTTCAGGTATACAAATTGAGTAAAAATACGCTCAATTTGTGTAATTCCCTAAAACTCTAAATCTAAATTATTTGTGAAATATCTCAAATTTCCAGTACGGCATAAATTTTGTTTTCCAAAAAAAAATGAAGAAATAAACTTTTAAACAAAATATAAGTGTCTTTGTTAGCATTAAAATTGCGTAAAAATTGCGCTCTTTTTGAGCATATGGTTTGAGTGTTTTAAACATTTAAGAATTGAGTGGCCCAGGTGTGTGTGCAATGTGCAGAGTGCAGCAATGTTATATTATATAGAAAGCCATGTGATTTGAAGATAAGAGTGGGAAGGGGGGGGGGTAATTGGGCAGAGAATTTACAGTGCTATATAGCTAACTGGTTTTTAGTACCAAATTTTACCGCAAGGTGTCTCTGCTTGTTTCATGTAAAATTTAAAAAAAGTAAAAAGGTTGAAATTAAATTTTTTACTAAAAGTATATCATTTAGAAATCAAGATTTGGGTTTTAAATTATAAATAACCCAAGCCACGCCGATAACCCAAGCAACGCCAAATGTTCCGTTATTCCAGAGGCCTTGGCGTTAGTGGGATGGCTGGCCAGCTAGGGTTTAGATCTAGGTGAGGGTGGAGTGAAACTTGGGGAAAAGAGGCAGTTGAGCATCAACTCCCTGGAGATCCTCCTCATCCTGAATTATCTATCCATTCATTATTGATTTGTATAGTATTTTCCTATTTTTATTCGTGTTTGTATAAATAATAATAAATTGTAAAACGGCCTCGCTGAATATTTGATAATATGAGTTGTTGACTTGAATTTTTAGCATATATTAGAGTATTCTTTAATATTCGGTAATAATTGTCATTTGATGAAGTAATGAAAGGAGGCTAATTCTCATAAAATTCTAGGAGGTAAAGTTGTTTAAGTTTAGTTGAAAAGGTAAGCCTATTAAATAATCTTAAAAAACTTAATCTGATCAAAAAGGTTGAAGATACTGTGGAAGACGAGACCCAGCGGCCTCCTTACAACAAAGCCAGGAACAAAGAAGAGAGCTGAAGAATTCTACGCTGCATTCTCTCTAGTTTTGATTCATGTTATTCCTACCGATATACCTATAGACTTGTTATCTTAGAATCAAATATATACTGAAGTTAGACTCCTTGTGTTATTTGGAGACCGACGCTACGTCCTCCATAATACTGTCATTTTTTAAGTCTCAAAAATTATTTATTCTTTTGTTCAAAATTGTCATATTTATGATTAAAACTTGATTGCAAAAAAAGTGAAATTGAGGTTACCATGGAGCTGGGCTTGTCGCCCCCTGCCTTTTAACGAGGACAAGGGCCTTGGCACTCATTCCCAGCTCCAGTTGTTGGGGCAATTTTCTACCTGAATTAGAACATGAACATTAGGGCAGTATCCATCTGTGTTCCAGGAGACATGAATCCATTCCATCATCACATATGGGATATACTGAGACTAAATTCATACCTTAGTTTACACAATTAGAACAACTTTTCTTCAGAATCTAGTCAATTGCAGTCACAGAACAAATAAGATTCATGTTAAAACCCAATAAAACAAGAAAAAACTCTTGTTACAATAAACATGATTCATGCCAAATATCAGGCAATATTAAAAATAAATGCTCAAATATATATTTTCCAGTACTTTTTAAGTTTGCAAATTTTTTCTCACAGTAAATGATATTTCTTTGACAAGCATTATTTCTCTTCTCACATTAGAAATCTGGTGTTACAGTGTATATCCACTGTACAATTTCAACAGTCAAAAATTATTAACCAACAGGTCTAGAGAAAAGTAGTGATTTTAGTTGAAACCTTTCTTAAGGATATTTCTGTTTTCTCTTAAAAATGATTAAAAATTCCAAATTTACAATTTTTGAATCCCCCATCCTCTCAGTTCGTTTGACTGACACAGCTACATGTTTCAAACCCTTTCCCAAATGGGGTATTTTTTATAATATAGGCAGAGGGAAGTGTTTTCCACCCCCTCCCCCCTCCAATTTTTGCCCTGTGAGTTGAGATAGGGGGCAAGTTATTTCATCCATTTTAATAATTTTAAACAAAAAATTGGTGAGTAAAATCCTGAAAATTTTTTTACGGCTCCACGCAAACTACTGTGTAAAATAATACATTTGTTGATCCAAATAATAAGGCAAGTTTTCATCATTCAACAATTAAAACCCTGGAAATTGTTTTTAATATTATATGGAAACAAAGGTAAATTCTAATGGAAAAAATTATAATTGATGAACTGGGGCTGTGTAGGGGGGATTTTGATTTCAAAATCTTTTTATTATTTATACTCAAACATTTATAAAATAAAACCTGTCATGTCTATTTTCTGGGGGAAAACCTAATTTTTAAAAAAGAAACTTTGGTTTAACACAAGTTTAAATTATCTAATCCCTATATCATTAAAACCTGATTTTGAAAAAAAACTGGATGTTTCAAAAAAATGAAAATTTTTCCAAGTTGCAAATTACTTTGCAGATTCTGAAAGTAGAGCATAAGAGGTGGAGTGAAATCAAACCCCCCCCCCCACATCAAATCCTGCTTTACAATTACCCCAGCAGGGATAGGGTTAAGCATTAAATAAGAAATTTATAATATATTGATCTCATTTAAAGAACATGTAACATCTGGATTTAATGCCAGTTCAAGTTGTAGTATAAACCCTTAGATCATATTCTACCAAACAACATTGTGTATGTACATGGGTCTCCAGGAACCTACAATTGTCCTGGAGGGGACCACCCTAAGTTGAAACAACACTCCAGTGCATATATAGGAACTTAACCCTATCCCGCTGGGGTACTTAAAAACCAGGATATGCTGGGGGCTCTAAATCCCATGTTTAATGTCCAAATATGACAAATGATACATCATTGGAAAGCTCTTGCGCTCTACTTTTAGAATCTTCAAAAAAATTTGCAAATTTTCAAAAATTGAATTTTTTATCGCAAAATCCAGTTATATAGTAAAAATGTTTGCCAAAAAAAGTTTGTCCAAAAAATGAAAAATTATACATTTTTGAAAAGCCCTTGACCATGCCATTTTAAATATGCAAAAATTTTTGCAAAATTTTAAATAACCTGATTTTTAATCAAGAAAAACTAAAAATGTGCAAATTTCTTTTGACAGGTTGTTTGCAAAAATTTTGCAATTTTTTTTCGCAAAACTTGTGCAATTCATGTCAAAGGCTTTTCAAAAAGCTAAATTTTATCAAAATCTGACAAGTGAAAGTGGGTCAAAACAAAGATTTAGTTTGTTACAGGAAAAAGCAGTCATTCAGGCAGTGTGCCTGAGGACTCAGGCAGTTAGTATTAAAGCCCGGTTTTAGACCTAAAGGGAGGGCTGTGGGTATCTAAGATAAGTCAGAAAATTTCAACAGACTCAGACCAATGCTTTTTGAGTTATGTAAAAAAATGGAATATGGATAATTCAAGTAAATGAACAGCACGTGTCCCAAAGATTTCTTAGGCTAAACAAATTGGGGTCTGATACCCCAACTTGTTTAGCTTGATTTCTCCTCCTCAGGCTGCCTAAGAAAGTGATGGAGACAACTCAAGATGAACTCTCCCTTGTTGAGCTGCCACACAAACATCAAGATGAAGTGATGGATGAGTACTGAGACAATCAGGTTGATCAACAGGATGAACAGCAAGATAATGATTCATCAGAAGGATAAAGCACATCATGCCAACTCAAATCAAAAGTAGCAGCACAAATAGCTCCAGCAACTCTAACAACAGATTTCAAGAAAACAAACAAACAAAAGAATCAAAGGATGAACTATATCAATTGTTAATAAGTGATTCAATCAATATATCTTCACTAAAAGGTGAATCAATCAATCAAACCCCACAAAACTCTCCAGATCAAAGTTTCAGAAGTCATTTTGCGACAGAAGATCAAGATTCAACAATTATGGTTCAAAATAGAATGATAATAGCAAATGAATTGACCTCAGCGGCTACACAAGAAGAAGAGTCACAAAGAGTGGAATTAGAACTGGAACTGGAAACACATCCAAATCAAGAATTAGAAGAATATCAAGAACTCCAGATAATGGAAAAATCATCCCAGTTAATAGCAACATCAACAACATGTTCCACAGACCTAAGCAGTAGGAGATCTGGTAGAATCGATAAACTAGTACAGATCCCCCCACCAAGAACCTTAAGGCTACTTCACTCAACCTAAGTTTTGAAAGAATCCACCAGATAAAATAAAAACTTTCAAATCCATAGCAGAAAATGTGTGTTACACCCTCACTGAAGCATGGGAGAAATGACATTAACCTCCAGGACAATAATGGAGACCTAGAGGTACATTGAGGGACAGTTTATCTCAACCAGAGCTAGAGTAGCATCTCCAGAAAATCTGTCTAGGTCAGATAGTTTCAATTTGTTTAAAAATAATAAACCAAAAGTAAAAAATAGGGCAGGAAGTAAGGCAGGAAGTCAAGAGAAAACATTAGGAGAGTAGTTGAAGCAACACTGAAAAGTAAAAAATCACTTCAGCCCAAGCAGGAATAGTGGATAACAATAAATTTCAGTTCAAAGCAAAGAAATTTGTTTAGCAAAATTTAGTCACATCTATGGCTTAGCAAAATTAAAGTAAACAGGGGGGGGGGGTGTCAAGCTTAAAATAAAAAATCAAAAAATTAAATATACCTGTCCTGTGAAGAACTCCAAAATTAAAAAATGTAATAAAATTAATTAAAGCAAAATAGAGTTGCCCTAATTTTAGTATTACTTAGAACTTTTAACTAATTTTACAACTTAAACCATCCACAAACCATCGGGGTCTAAGGAACAAATAATTTAGGTTTCCAGGGTATTTTGACTACTTTGTATAGGTTGGTACAGAATGAAAGGTGAATGCAAGTATCACAACCATTGGGTAAGATGCAACCTAACACACTCTGACATTTGACCATGGAGTCATGACATTTCCATCCATCAGGAGGTCCAGGTGAGAGTCCCAATCAGAATTTAACCATGTGATCCTCTTCTCTTCATGCAACTGTCGATTGACATAATTATCTGTAGTTCTGCCAAGTTGTTATCACCTATTAGAAATGGTCAATTCCTGAATCAATGATTCTATATATAAATTGTGGTACAACTGTCTCTACATGCTGCTCAATCAATTTTTTAAATTTGGTACTAATATGTTTTAACTTGGGCTCATATATAAACTTTAAATAAACAAACTGTCAATTCAACTATTTTGATCATTTGTTTAAGAATCTGTAAAATCTTTCCTTGGTTCTGGGATGTTCAGAAAGATGAAATTTTCCATGCATGATAAAATTGTTAAAACTTTTTATTCTGGATGATTGCATATTTTTATAGAAAACTTTCTTAAACTGACACGTTTTTCCTAAATTTACTTTGTTGAGAGTTTCAGTCAAAATAATTATTGATAATTTTTGCTTTATATCGAGTAGATAAAGAAAATATACTGATGTAAAACCTTTCAGAGAGTAGGAAAGATTCTGACTTTACTTATATTTTTATTAAAAATAAAATTTCTGTTTTGTTTCCCCCAGTAATACCCCGGTATACCCCAGTAAAGCCCAGTACCTTGAAGTTCATTGTATTACCCTTTACCCTGAAGTACTCAGTATACCCTGTTACTTTCCATGAAAAGATTTGGGAATTACAAATTGGTGTTTTCCCATCCCTTTCTCCAAATTAATCATCAGCTGTTAAGCTGTAGACCATTGACAGAATCTCTTTTATACTGTTTCACACAAATAAAAATGATGCAAAACAAGAGTGAAGTGCAACCCAGAAAAGTTTTTATATAAGTACTAATTAGTTATGTTTAAAATAAAAATTATTATTTTTGCAGAATCTTTCTGAAAGGTTTTACATCGGTATGATAAAGGATATCTTCTTGATATAAAGCAAAATAAATAAATGACTTCAGAAAAAATATGCCAGTTTAAAAAAATTTTAGATGGGGATTTGCAATCATCTAGAACAAAAAGTTTTATCAAAAATTAAACTTTATAATTTTATAGGAGTTTTTAAAATATGCAAAAAAAAACATTTCTGACAACCCTAGGCTTAGTATTACCAAAACCATACTGCAGTCCTTTAATTATCATACAGGAAATTTTCAACTTTCCAAACATCCAAGGGAAAGATTTTATAGGTACTTTAAGAAAAGAATATTAACTTTTGTTGGTATGAAATTCCTTATTTTTGTTTGTCAAGTATGGAATTAGTGCCTACAATAAAATTGTTATTAGAAATTAAAAAAAGTTTAATTGCTTTTTAAGTTTTGTAGGGGACCATAGAGAGTTGGAGATGGTGCTATGGAAACGCCTTACACAGAAATGTTTCACCACAGAAATGCCTCAATTCCACTAAAATCTATTTTTAAGGAATTTCTGCTTGATTTAGGGAAATCCTTCTAAACTGGGAAAGGGTGAGGTATTTTTGAATAATTTTTGAGTTATTTCGTTATTTTTACAGTAAACATGTTTCCTCTTTTTTCTTATTTTTGAGGCGTTTCAGCATATTTTTGAGGTGTTTTTGTTAAAAAAAAATAAAAAAAATTTATTAAGTTTAGAAGTTTCTTTTTCTTGTGGTGTTTCTGCATATTTTTGAGGCGCTTTCGCTTTTAAAAAATCTTTCAAAGTTCATTCAATTTAGGTGTTTCCTCTTCTTTTTTTTGTACAAGAGGCGACACCTTAATTTTTTTTTGAGCACACCCCTAGAAGAATTTTTGGAACAATATAAAAGAACTGTATATTTTTTTACTTATTTTTTGCTTGGTTTAGCACAGAACATATATTTGATGATAATATATCACAGGATCAAAGAAATGAGATCTTTTCAATATACTCCAAAATTATAAACCCTATATATATTCTATGTATATTAAGTGCAGTATAAAGAAGCCTAAGTTTGAAATAAGATTTACACCATCAGGTTTCAAAGAAATAGGGATAGTAAAATATGAGTTCTTGAAAAATCTTTCCCCTTTTAAAAGTAATTAATCTCATCCCTTAAATTAAACACCATCAAAATTTAAAGAAATAAGGACTAGTAAATAAGAGAAAACTATTTTCAGGGTTTTAATTGCTTAATTTTGGGTTAAAAACTTAAAATAATTTAAAAGGATGAAAACTGGCTTTTTAATGTCAAATTTATCTATTCTTTTTTCACTACCAAATTTATTGTTTACAGAAATTATGGTTGTTTTTGCGGAGTGCCTTAAAAATGTCTTAACACTTTAATCTTTAATCACTTTTTAATTGTTATTTTCTGTAACCACTAATTTATATCAATGCTAGACTACTTTTCTATTTAAGTTTTGATTTCTAACAAGTTATTGAAAAGTTTCTCTCTAATTCCATGTTGTTAAAAATCAAAATTGAAATGGAGAATGTTGTCATCATGGTATTAAAATATATGACAAGGACTTCAAAATTGGGATAAATATTTGTATTTCAGGAATGTAAGATACAACGAAAATGATATTAAATAATTGACCTTAACTGATATAACTTTTTAAGTTGTTTTCTCATCTTCAAAATTTTTAGAAAAATATGCATGCCATCTCACATGCACAAGAGTATTGTAAAAAATTCCCCAACTCGACAATCATAAATGCTTATCTCTGGCTCAAAAACAGAAATCTATTTAAACTAAAAATGTCCAAGGTGGTTTAAATGATTATATTTTTTAATTTCTTATCAAGTTAAAAACCAGAAAGACCTCTTTATGGGTTTTAAAAAAATGGTCTTTCAAAATAAAAAATCTGTTTTAAGAGTCTAATGGAATTGTTATTATTGTGCTTGGGAAAAAAAGAAGAATCCTTAATTTAAATATTTAATACAGTGATAACTAGAAAACAATGGAACAGAAAAACAAAATTAAAGCAATACTCAAGCGTATTTTTTACAAAGCAAATACTTTTACTTGAATCTTAGCAAAACACTTTTAAAGTGAAATTGGTCCATTTACACAATTGAATTGAACTAGTTTAAGACCTATATTGAGTTTAAAAGTCATCTTCCTATATCAGAATTTTCTGGTTATCAGTGTTAAAATTCATTAAACATGCTAAACATGTAATAAAACAGATTTATGAAATTATAAGTAAGTTCTCAAAAAGGAATAGACAATCACTAACATTATTACCTTTGATTAGATAGTAAAAAATGTTACTATGAAATGATTTACATTGAACTTTAACAAGTTTAAATTAGTAGAAGTCTGTAAATTCTCAAATTTGAAGATATCTAGTCAAACTCTGTATGGCAACTACGCTTACTACCATAACTACCATCTGTTATTAGAGAGACCCCACCCCCACCCTTGAAGCTGAATTTGTTGGGAACTACCCTCACTACCCCAACTACCATCATTTTTTTAAAAAGACCCTATCCGCACTCTGTGTTTATTCTATGCGCATGGTATACTATCAATTTTGATTTAATCAATTGTTTAAAGCTTGTTTCTGGCATTCATCACACTCTCCGACTTTTACTATCCTGACAACCTGCCTTCTGAAGGGTGCACATTTTGTATTAATAAAAGAGGTATTTTATATGTACACCATTCTTTGTGGGTAACCCTGTATCATAAGTCCTTACTAATTTATGCAGGAGAATATTCATATTATTTGTTTTGGAAAATTTGTTTTAAATGTGATAATGAATAAGAATTTGGAAATTTACTGCTTTTTGTTTAATTTATAGTGAACTAATTTAAGTTTTGTAAAGTTTTTTGTGAAAAACAGAAACTCCTCAAAATTTTGTGGAAAGGCTTAAATAAAAAAGAGGAAACACCTCAATTAAATGAAGTTTTAAAGAATACAGAAACTCCTCAATATTTTGCGGAAATGCCTCACAAAAAAAGAGGAAACACCTCAACTGAATGAAGTTTTCAGAAATACTGAAACTCTTTGAGAAAAAGAAAGCACCACAACTAAATAGAGTTTTTAAAAATACAGAAAACCCTAAAAAAGTTTGCGCAAACTCCTTACAAAAAAAAGAGGAAACACTTCAAATAAAAAGAGTTTCAAAATATAGGAAAATGCCTCAAAAATTTTGGGGAAATGCCTAAAGAAAAAAAGGAAATACCTAAACTTAATAGAGTTTTTGAAACTGCAGAAACCCCTAAAAAATTGCGTGGAAAGGCCTTAATAAAAAGAGAAAAAACCTCAACTAATTAGAGTTTCAAAAATTGCGGAAATGCCTCAAAAATATTGGGAAATCCCTCAAAATATTTGTCAACTGAAAAGCAAACACCCCTTAAATATTTAAGGAAACGCCTCAAAATTAGAAGGAAACCCCTGAAAAACTGGGATTTGAGGGATTCCATAGCACCTTGGGGATAAGTATTTTATTTTAATAATCTTTAAAATTTTTGTCCAATTACCATTAAATGCAAATTGAGGTGCTTAGAATCTTCCCACTTTTTTCAAATTGTATATTATGTTTCCTTTGCTGTTTTTATTTAAGCAAGGCTATTTTTCAAGGGAGAGACCAATAATGAGAGGTATTAAAATAAACGTCTCACCCTACACTCATGCCCTTCTATATCAATCTTTAGTATCACTGTGTCTGTAGTTATGATGTCAAGAATGTCCTAAACAATTAAATAATAGTAAAACAGATTTTAAGCTAGCTAACATTTAGACTTAATTAAGAGTTTAAATCTAAATTATTGGGCAGGTCTATTTACTTAACACTGGAAAATGTATTATTTTAGTTGGATTCTGCAAATCAAGATGATGGGTATACTTGCCTGTAATGAAATAACTATAGGACAATGTCTAAAATCACATAAAAACCTGAACCTAATTTAAAAAGTGACTATGGATATGTGCACACAATAAACTTCAGTTTTTTTTTGGGATCCTGCAGCTCATTTTTCACCAGAAAAAGTAAATCTTAAAATTAACATCTTATTGATTGTCTAGCTTTAATTTGAATGAGCATTTTCTAAAACTAATCATCTCAAAGTTAGGTCTGCTATAGAGCATAAATTATGTAAACGGTAAAATCCTGTTTTGTTAAAATATATGTACAACAGACTGCAATCTAAACATAAAGAAATAAATTTCAAACTCTAGCAGACAAACATTTTATGGATTACAGCTCTCCTAGAAAGTATCACCATACTTATTCAAAAAGATGATTTTGAAACTGTCATTAAACTCTTGTCCTTAGTACTTGACATAAGTTTAAAGCTGAAAACATTTTTTGATGTTAGAGTTTCATCTACAACAATATACTCATTTTGGAATAGTGTACCTGTAATGTAACTGGATAAACTGGTTCTCCAATCTCATAGGACTAAATGAAAAAGGGTCAAATACAAGCTGCTAATGGTGCTATGGAAACGCCTCAACACGGAAACGTCTCAACGCGGAAATGCCTCAAAAACCGGTTTTGAGGAATTTCCGTTTTTTTTTGGGAAATCCCTCAAAACTGGAAAATGTTGAGGGATTTCCGAATATTTTTGAGGCGTTTCCTAATATTTAAAGTTGAGGTGTTTCCTCTTTTTTTTTGAGGCG